GAATGCTTTGCAATTTTCAGGAAATTACCTCGGGAGTTTCTTCATCGAGTCTAGGTTCCTATTTCTTTGTTCCCTTTGGAGTTGTGAGGAAATAGAAAAGCACAAGAATTTAACCTGTCATTTAAGAAATGATCCTGAATAGACAGAATATTCACCTGCAGGTTCCTTGTGTAGGTCCAAATGGTATACACATAAAAACCAGAGCTACTCCAGCAGGTGATACTGCAAAGGCTGACTGCGGAGGGATTGGGCAACTGCAGAGGTTGGCTCACAGCAGTTTCCCTTAGAGAACATCCAGGAGGTTCCCAAATGGCCCATGTGTCACAGGCAGTGAAGGTATCTCATTAAAAAACTAAAAATGCCCAAAGACAGTCCTGACCAGTGTGGCTCAGTTGCTTGGAGCCTCATCATCCAGTAAACCTAAAGGTCCCAGGTTTGATTCCTGGTTAGGACACGAGCCTGGGGTGCAGGCGTGTCCCTGGTGGGGCATGTGCCAGAGGCAACCAATGGATCAATCAGTGTTTTTCTCTCATATCTATGTCTCTCTCTCTCTCTCTCTCTCTCTCTTCTCCCCTCCACCCCTCCCTCCTCTACTCTCTAAAATTAATAAGCATGTCCTCAGGAGACAAAGTTTCATCATTCGCCCCCTGCCTTTTCCAGAAAGCAGCCCCCATGCATTGAGGGCTTGGTGGCAGGAGGGAGCATTTTGCATTCTTACATGACAGGGTTTTGCCAAGCTGCTCCCCAGCTCTGCTTAATGATGAGAGAGGCATCTTGGGCAGAAGGGGAGAGCCATGGAGGGAGGGGGGGGCGCCTGTTCTCGAGCTGCCTGCTGAGAAGATTGGAGCACATACTAGAACCATGGGCTTTTGTAAATAAATGCTTCATATTGGAAAATGAATACGTGGTAGCTCTGCAAGCTCCCTCCATTCAGGACACCAGGCATCAGCAGCCACCTCCACAAATGAGCAATTTTCAGTCATTTGCTTGCTTTTATTTCTCAACTCTGTCCCATCTTTAACTGTCTCCCTGTTGCTTTTTAAAATAAACAGGGAGACAGTAACCTTTCATTCTCTTCTTTTTTCACTTATGCTAACTATAAAGGGCACAGAGAATTCTTGGTAGAAGGCTACCTCCTGCAGATAGATATTTTATCTCCCACTCCATCAGGGAGACTTTAGAAACCATCTCTTGCCAGGAAAAAAAAAATCTTTAGGTGCCACATACTTAAGACTGCCCATTACGCTCTAGTCAAGTGATAAAATATTTTCATTATGAGCAGTGGGAACTACAGAAAGGGGTAGGGGATAAGCATCATTGGTTTATTTCCTTATGCTTCAGGTAATTTTTAAGTTTGTAGCCCTTGCTCAAAGCTTTATCAGTATTCCCGAGCCAGAAGAGCCTCTGTGGTTGCCAGACACAGGGGCCATCTCCATGGGAAAGGTGCAAGCCTGCCTGCCTGCCTGCCTGCCTGCCGCAAAGAGAGTGACTTTTCTATCAGGCATGTTGTGTGAATAGACAGCCCCCCCAAGTACTGGCAGCCCAATAGCAACCTTCTAACATTGATCTGCAGCTTGTCCCGCTATCCTCGGGAGATCATCTCCTCCATCCCTGAAGAGACCTGCCTGCTCCCTTTCCCTAATTTTCCTAAATGTGGCACCCAGTTCCACATTTAATCGGTCACCAAATCCTAGTCACTTTCCATCCTTAACATCTGCAATCACAGCCCCCTCCTCCCTATCATTTCTGCCCCACCCTAGTTTGTTACACATCAGGGCACCATTCCAAGCATGAGGATAAAGAGTCGATAGAAATGAAATGACATGGCAGGGCCAGGCAAGGGTGAGGCACGGGAGGCACCAGCGTGCACAATTTAAGCAGGCGCTGACTCTCAAGATCGTGCAAGCATAGGGTCAGCTGAGAATGAGTGCCTTCCAGAATTTGTGTCCCAGTCACCTCTCTTGCCTGACCCTAGTGCCAGCCCCATGTTTGTTTGCTTGTTTTATTTTCAAACATAGTGTTGCCAAAATCTATGTGTGTTCAGCTAGAGATTCTCATAATACCACAACGTACTCCTTCAGGTGATGTACCTGGGCCCAGGTGTCACCACGGGGCGCCTGCATGCTTGGAGGACCTTGCCCATACCTGGGGAGGAAAGAGGAACAATTGCATCTCTTGAGTTATCCTTTTTTTAAGGAGGTGCCCCCCGCCACCGCTGGTCTTTATATTACCTGATTTTATTCTTCAATTTTATGTCAAGACACCAGCATGTTTCTGCCATCACAGGATGCCCTTGACACACGTAATTAGCACAAGGGACAGTGGTCAACTGCCGTGTAGAGAAGCACAGGTAGGGGAGTGTGGCGATCCATGGCGAAGGGCATCAGCACACTAAGGAGTGAGGTGAGCCGTAGATACTCGGTAGTCCTAAAGTATCCACACTTGCCAATGACTTGCATTTTAGATGAATTGGAGCAGAATCAAGGTTATCTCCATAACAACATTCTCACATTCTTTAGAAGCCTCTAAAGTTCTACAATGTTATCTTCAGTAGGGGAGAAAGAGGAGGCTCTATACCTCTGTTTTTCCCAGCACTGTTTTTAGCTTTGAAACACATGTGCGAGGTACCATTGTCGCTTACATGTGTCTCCTCAGGACACAAAGGCTGAGAGTTGTGGTCCTGTGTGTTCGAGCTTAGGAACCCCAGGAGACTGCTAGGTGTCTGATTCCTGAAGCACTGTCTCTCGCTCACTTCTCGAGGGTGCCTCTTGGACCTCTGTTTGATTGGGCCCCGTGAGTGGGTTCTGAAATGCTTCTACCTCCTTCTAGTTCACAAATACCTGTAGGTTTCCCCCGCAACCACCGAGTCATCATCAGTCCTTGAGTAAAAGGACCATCAACTATTGTCTTCCCCTTATTTTCACCAGTGGATCAGCTCTCACCTTCCAGCTGAAATCTATCTCATAAGATACTGGATTTTAGCGGTCCTTTCAGATCACCTCCAGTCATCCTCAGTGACGTGCGGCCACTGTTGTGCAAGCAGGAGCACGCGTACACACCCACACTCCAATTGCCCTTTTCCTAACTTCTACAACTGATTTGACCACAAAGAGATCTTTATTCAAGGCCATTCTTCTCCTAAATTACGTAGTTGCCTCCTGGTTAGGCTCCCTTCCTCCAGGTGAAATCCTGTCCATTCCTTGTAAGAATAAACTTACCCATGAGACTTCCCCGGATGCTGGTTGCAGACCTCCTTGCCCCGCTTGGTGTACACTCGTATGACAGAGAAGCAGAGTCTCTGGAGCCGTATAGACTTGCGTTTAAACCAGCCCCCTCTCCTTTGACCTGTGTGACTTTCATCATGTTTGGGTATCAGTACCTTAATCAACTAAAAGGAATAACATTCTCTACCTCCCAGAGTCTTTATGGACATGAAGTAACAATATCTATAAAGCAGCTAGTGTAGTTTCTGACACAGAGTAGGGCTTTAACAAAGGCTACCCCTCTCTTCTTTCCTTCATTAGCTCTAGTAAGGACATCTATGAGGGGTAGGAAAGTACTGTGTCATTTTTCCTCACATGACCTTTCCTTTGGGAACACTGGTAGTACTAGCATTTTATCAGTTGTTACTCCCTTGTTGAAAACATCTGGGTATTCCGAAAGTAGAATTTGTATCCCGTTTTAATTTATTTTCGACATAGTCCTAGGGAGGGGTGAAGGAAAAAATCAGTAAGAAAATATATAAATTTATTTAAAAAAGAGATTATAAGTAACTTAGAGTTAGCTTTATCTCTTCCAGTTACTTTGATTCTGTTGCAGGCTTATAACATAAAACATGGTGACATTTCTTCCCTGTCAACTGTGCTCTTCTAGGCTGAACAGACAGGACATATAGCACATTGTCTCTGTCCTTCTGAAAATAACTTCTCACTTTAATAAATCCAATGAGACATTCTAGTTATTTGCTATAATGGGATTTTGCCAAATATTATACAGATAACATTTCCTACCCACAAAATCGTAAGAGAAAACAGAGACTTTGTGTCATTAGTAAGCCAGTGAGTGAATTTTGCTGAACTCCAAAGAAAATGGAAAGATGCACCATAAACCTTTCTTTCTTCACCTATAATTCTTTTCATTTTAGTCCCTCCCTCTCCCTCCCTACCCAGCTTTCTAGAGATGTGTTTGCTGGGTTAACATTTATTTAAATAGTGATAGTGTTGGAAATCAGAAAGAATTCCTTCCTGTTTTTATAGCCTTGAGGCTTAAACATTTTTATTGTTGTTGTTATAAAGTGTTGGGTGAGTCCATTTTTTATTTACATGATGTTGGGGGTCCGAAAAAATTTAAGAAGTTCAAGGATAATGACTGCTTGGTGGGAAGACAGGTCTTGCTTCTCCATTACCTATTCACAATGCCGTAACATTCAGGCATCTTCTCTGTTAGAGGCAGCAGTTCTTACTTGAATGGGAACCAAAAGCTGAATGCCTTACACAGAGCTGCTCCTTGCAGAAAATTTATTATAGCCACATCAACACATCTCTCTTCTATCGGCCCCTAATAAAAATACACCAATGGCTTCCTTAGATAGACCGCATCTTTAACACAGAATTTGGCTTTAAGGGATTTGACCTGTGCTCCAAGATGGCATTGCCCTGCCAGACAGCACAGACATGTTTTCTTAGTGAATTATGATATTACGTCCTTGCTGCCTGGTGACATGGATCAGCAGCCGCTGGTCTTTCTGACCTGTGTGTCGATCTCAAGTTCTGTTTTGGAAAGGGACAAGAGTGGGCGTGGGGGATGGACATAGAAGGCTACAGAAATGGTCTCAACAAGAGTTTTTTAAGCTAATTAATTTTTTCTCTAACTCTCCTCATTGGTAGGATATATACCATGCTGCTGTTTTCCATCTCAGGCCATGTCTCTCTGGTGCTGTTCACAATTTCCATGAGATGCATTCACTTTAAGTCTACCCATTCTCCTGTGTTCTCTTCCAGGTAGCTATAGATTTCACTGCCTCAAACGGGGACCCCAGGAACAGCTGTTCCCTGCACTACATCCACCCTTACCAACCCAATGAGTACCTGAAGGCCTTGGTGGCTGTCGGGGAGATTTGCCAAGACTATGACAGGTATGAGACTTGCGGTCAGCTAAGTCCTTACTGTCTCTCTGTGGGTTCTGATGGTTTCTGGCTGATCCTTGGCAGAAGAATGGAAATTAAACTTAGCAACTCATCGTGTAGACACTCATGCAGAGACAGAATAAAACCTTGCCTCAAACCTAGAGAAACTGAGTTTCTGCTATGTCCACCTTGAGTTTCAACCAGCTCCATCCCCTGTAACCTGTGTGAACTTCATCACCTTTGGGTGTCAGGATCTTCATCAACTTTAATATGTGCCTTGCTCCTCAAAGTTCGGTGCATGAACTACCAGCATTACCTGGGAACTTAGAACCTCCAGCCCCATTCCAGACCTACTGAATCAGAACCTGCATGTTAACAAGATGTCCAGATGAGCTGAGTATACGTCAGAGTTTGAGAAGCACCAGTTTATTAGATATTATTGCATCTAGTCCTCCCATTAACCCTATGTAGTAGGTATTACTTAGCAGAAAAGGAAAAGTGTGCAGGGAGGTTAAGTAATCTGTGCACTGTCACATAGCCAGAGGCAGGACTTGAATCCAGATCTGTCTCATTCCAGAGCTTAAGGGCACAGTCACTGTATTTCACTGACCTCCAAAGATGTTGGTACCTGTAGCAGAAGGCATGTGTCTACCTGTGTGTATGTGTGTGTGTGTGTGTGTGTTTGTGTCCATGCAAGTGTGTGTATGTGTTTACATAGGGCACATTATTTTGAGATCAGATGACCATTATATTTATTTTTACTTGATGGTAAATACTGACCTTTCCCACTAAGATAATTCCCTGTTAGAAGTGGTTTACATACATAACATTAAACTGAGTTATTTTCTGCATTTCCAATATTTTCAGACTGAGATGAAGTTGTTCGTGTGTTTGTTCAAGAAGGCTTTTTGAAGTATAACCAATGTAAATATAAATATGGGTAAATCCCAGTTGACTCCCCATTGTGATTATAAAACAAACCTAGTTAATGATGAACGGCGACTGATAGAATGATCTCGTAAGCCAGGAAAATGATGAAAACAATTCTATCCCTCAGTTTCAGAGAACATTTAGGGGATAGTATGATTTCTTTTTCATCTAGTCTCATCATTGGTGATAACTTATATTTTTTTAAAAACTATTACCAGAAGCACCATTAAGAATGACACAACCTAGGAACCAATAGGACAGGTAATAGGAAAAGCCCCATTAGTGTCCTTCCCGCTGGCCGGTCACTGGATTCAGCGTGGTCATTGCCAGTAACTCCGACGGGCGTGAGGGCCGTTGGGGAATGAATGGACAGGTCCGGTAAAATCAGAAAGCTTTAAACACTCGGGCTCTTGCCAACACTTCCCCCCTAAACACTTAGAATAGAGGGCAACGACATTTACATTCCCTCACTGAAGCGATACTTCTTATCTTTAACCTTGAGATAGTGATTGTGAAGATAACTTGTATTTTGGCTCTGATTTCCTTAGGCCCAAATACAGGAAGGATTCCTAAAGGGGTTTGTAGCATATGGAGATTTTTACCAAAAAAAGGAAAGACTGACAAATTGGATCTTGGCTGCCGGAAACTTCTCTAAACATCCTCAGGACACCAAAACAGTCGTTCCCACCCTTCCTTCTGTCAAACACACATGACACACACACACAAATGATCTAGTATAATAGTGTGTACCTAGAAGACAAGGAGGAAGGGAAGAAATGTCTCAGTGATCTTAATAACTTTTAAATTCTTGAAATGCTTATAAAAGAAGCAAAGTGGGTAAATGTACTTGATCCGTGTCGTACAGCAGGTCCTTAATAATAAAGCAGACTCTGACTCTTCAGGGGAGAAGGCTGTGTAGCAAGGAATTCCACAGAGGAGACTCGTGGGCTGTCAGAGAATGAGACGCTGACGGCCAGCGCCATGACCGTGGCCTGGGGCAGCCTTGCTGTCTGATGTGGAACAAGCTGCTAAACCTCTCTGTTCCCTGATCACCTCACATGCCAGATACAGAGACTCTAATTGGAATGACCCGTTCCTCGCTCAGAGCTGTTATCCCTTTGTAATGTGAGAGAGACAGAGCCTGGGGAGTATTTTGTATTCCCTCAAAAATACAGATTCAGTACAAACATCAGATATGACACCTTAGGGGTTATGTGAAAAATCATGATTCTTTTTAAAATCGTAATAGAATAATACTGAAGTTACGGGCCCCAACTGGCCCAGAAAATCAGGTTTCTTCAGCTCAGTGGGTCACATATAAACATATCTGTATGACAGCTCAGTGTAAAAATGGACAAATACCTAGGAAGAAGGCGAGGATTGAAAAGCCTGGGCACTCTTTTGAAAGACTCCCTGGCAGACGGTGTAAAAGCAAGCTGCTCTCTTGAAAACTGACAAGTGCCGCAGTTTCTCCTTTGTGTGGGTGGATAGGCAATAGACAGGCAGAGTCAGGAAATTTCCAGTCGGGCTTTGGTATTAATTTTTTCTCACATCAAAGCCAGGGAGGTTGATGCTCAGAAAGGAACCCTTGAATAAAAACTGACAGAAGGCACCGTTCCCCTCCCGCAGCGACATGGAGGTTTTTAATCCCTATGAGCCTTAGAAACTCCTCCCAGCCTCTGCCAGCCAGGGTGTCCTTCCTGCCTTGTACAGTCATCGCTAACAGGTCGTTACGAGGTGATCCATGAAGTAGAACAGCTTCAGAGATGTGTAAAGCTCTTCTCCGGGTGGCCTTGAAGCGTAGTTCCTTCCACATATCGGATCGTAAAGCCCAGAAGGAAACCCTGCCAAACTGTTGTCTCTGCAGCTCTGAAAGATGCCAGCGCTCATTCCCTCCCCTTGGACTCCACAAGTACATGTGCATGCACATACACGGATGCACACATGTGCACTCACGCACACATACATTCACATATGCGCACAAGCTCATATTTTCCCAGTTAGCTATAGACTTGCTCAGCTTCTGTAAACATCCTGGTCTTCTCAGTCTACTCAAGGCCAAGGTGATATCCATCCCTTTGTCCCATAGCAATGTGTCTTTGACCACCTGCCATGTTCTCTAATAAAAAGGCTACTGTCGAGAGAGTACAGATACTGAGTGCATTGCTTGGAAGTACAGGGTGCCATTTTATAAATGCAGCCACCTCAGACTGAGCCAAGGGCATCAGACATTAAGAGAGCACTTCCCCTCGGTGTGCTGGGTGCAGTGCTAGGAGGCGAGGTTAGAACCGAAAGCCAGCCTGACAGGTGTTTTCGAGTGCGGAGGGCACAGGTAGAAATCAGAAGGCAGGCTAAGACGACAGTGCTACCTTTTCCATCCTACCAACACCAGTCAGTGCTTCTCAACCTTGGCTGCATGCTGGAACCGCTCGGGAGGATTTAAAATAGACTAATGCCTGGGCTCCACTCCAGAGGCTCTGATTTAGTTAGGTGTGCATCCTGGGGAATCAGGAATTAGGTGTGCATCCTAGTGGTCATCCAGGGTTGAGACCCGGAGCTGTCAGGTGAGATGGGTCAGATGAAAAGGCTAAGAGCTTATGCAGGACCTACTAGGTTCCAGGCACCTCACATGGTGCCACAAAGACAGATGGAAATGAATAAAGCACAGCTGTCCCCCAAGTGACTCACAATCTCACGGGCGAGAAAGGCACATAAATAAACCACAGCCCAGCATGGCCAGGGCAGCGTTGGCCTCTCTAAGGATGGAGACTGCATGAGGACGGCCGGGTTAACTCTTTTGTGGGAAAAGAAGTGGCCGTGGAGAGCCTCCTGGGGATGGTGAATTCTGCTAGTTCTGCCCTTGGTTGTCTTTAGAACATGGATGAACTTACTCTTGCTACTCTGAGTCATTAGACCAGACCAACCAGGAAGGGCAGAGTCAGCAGGGGTGATAGAAAGAGCATGGGGTCCTGGTGACAGATGGACCTGGGTTCAGACCCCAGCCCTGCAGCCTCTATTCCCCTCAGAGTGACATTTCCTGGGCCTTGGTTTCCCTGAGTGCAAACTGAAGATTTCTCTAGCTTCCCTTGGAGAGCAATTGTAAGGATTAGTTAGTAAGGGGGGAGCTAGCACAGAGACGAGAAGTTCAGCAGAGGGATAGAGTCAATAATATTGTAATTACTATGCATGGTGCCAGGTGGGTACTTGAATTATCAGGGAGATCACTTTGTAAATTATTTGTCTAACCACTATTCTGTACACCTGAAACTAATATAAAATAATATGGAATGACAGCTATAATTGAAAAATAAGGTTGAAAATAAATAAATAAATTGATGTAGCCAAAAAAAAATAAAGTGTCTAGGTAACACAGGTTCTGCCTGTTGTAAATACTCAATAAATGATAGAGATAATATTCTTAATTTATTTAAAAAAATAAACTGTACACAACAGGGGAAAGAACTGTTGTGTCAAATTAAAGGCCATTTTGGACCAACGACCTTTAAAAAATTAGCTCATATATCCCCAAAAAGAATTTTATAAAAATGTGTAAGTTTCACATTTTTACTTGAAAGCTAACATTTTCCATCATGAGTTTAGTGACAAAGAATGAAAATTCTAGTGTATTATAAATATGAGCATTTAAATATAAAACTCTTACATAACTTTGTGAATGCAATCAGTTGAATCTAAATGCCACAGCTATTTGATACCCACCGGTACCCATTTAAAAATGCATGAACAAGCTTTTCATTTTGAGTTGAGAATCTTAATTGTTTTTTTTCTTTTTCATGAACTCATTTTTCCATTCCCTACCCCCACAGGACTTCATCATAATGTATCTTTAAATTTTTTTTTGAAATTCTTTTATCAATCACTTTATCACACATTTCTATCATAAATATAAGAATAGAAATTTTAAAATTTCTAATTTCTAAAATTTCCTGTGATGAAAATATTCAAAGCACTTTAAAAATATCTTCTAGTTGAGTTTTATTTTATTTAATCACTATTAGTGCACAATTTATCAAAAGAACAAATATATTAAAAATTTTAATATCTAATTATTGCCTATAAAAATAAAACCTCCTAACAAAACAGATTGGGCTTTTTTTTTTTTCAATTAGTTTACTGATCTGTAGATGAATACTACCTATTACCAGAGTGGGAGAGTCTAACATCAATTTTAATCCAATTTTTTGTTTTTATCAATGTGAATGCTAAGGAAACTTGTTCTTATAAGTAAGCATGTGGTAATGGAAAGAGTTTGAGTAGCAGTGCAATTCAGTTCTAAAGTTATAGGTCAAAAAAAAATCATGTAATGATCTATTACCAAAATATATTTTTAGTGATCTACCAGCTGACATCAGCACTTACAATTTTTTTAAAGCAAAAATTGGCAACTACCTGACTTGCAAAACGATTTGTTTCTAGTAAATCATTCACATTTATCATTGTTCCTGTAGAGTTTTTTACGCCGTGGAGCAATACACCATGGTGGTTAAGATTTAGAATGGGTAAAGGAAAAGTGTAATGAAGGAAAGGTGTGAGTGGAGAACAGGCCTTTCCATCACAGGTCTTCCTAGAAGATCAATTTCAGCAAAGAATGCATAGGGGAGTCGAGAAACTGAATACTGATTTCCCTAAAACAAAAAATGAACAAACAGCAAAAAAAATGCTCTTACATCCACAGTGGGGTTTTGCATTTCTGCAGTCCATGTATCCCACTTTTAAAACCACTGTTTTAGAAAACAATCTTTATTAAATATCTAGGTGTTCTCAAATGCCATTTTGCTCTGAGTTTGTCTCCATTTTTCTCGTGGATGCAGTAATTTGTCTTTGCTTTGATTACCCTCTTGCTTTATCTCAAAGCTTTCCTAACAGGAAGGGTAAAAATGGTGGTTGAAGATGAATCTTCCATCTGGAGAGCCTTTGACTAAGGTCATTCCCACAGAAGTTCAGGACAGTATACTCATTAACATTGAAGACCATAGTCTCTTTTACTGTATTTTATACTATTTTATTCCAACAGTAAGAAATATTGCCTTTTCCAATGTGGTGATATGCCCCTGAGTTTTCCATATAGTCAGGTTTCACCAATCATTTTCCCAATAGTTGCAAAATGACCCCTTCACTCGGGGCCGCGCAGGTCCAACCTCAAGTCCTTGGATGTGCTGGCCTGCTGATGCTCACTGTGTGCCCAACTTGCCTCCTCTTGCCTCTTACATAATAAGATTCCTTTCTGCCTAGTTTTATTTTTAATCAGGAAGAATGATGTTCAAACCCATTGTGCTCAGGCTTGAAATTTTTTCTTGAGTATGCTTATTAGCTAGAGTCTTTACGGTGGCCAACTTCAGAGGATTGCTGCTCCTACCCTGCCCCGCCCCCGCCCCCCCAGCTCATTAGTTCATCTTGTAGATGAGGCATTTTTCCCACCTCCATACTTTTCAAACTGAGTTACATAACAGCACATCCTGCTCAGCAAACTTCACATTCCCACAGGTAGCTGACAAGGTGTAAAGGAATATCATTAAGACTGGAACACTGGTTTGCTGATTAGAAATGGGTGGAATCTTAGATCCCACCCTTCCTAAACTCATCACAGAAGAAGATAAAATAAAGGGTGTGGTGCCTCTTGGGTTTCTGTTTTGGCTTCTGATCCAAAAAACTAGGACCCATCCTCCATCTGGGAAAGTTTTCTTCCAGACCTAACTGGAAGGTACCCATAAAATTCCTCAACAGAGTCCATCCCATACCTGCTCGCCCCTGTTATGGTTAAGGAGACATTGCTGAGGCAAAGGATTTCATATTACCAAGGACCAGAAGTATTTTTTCTCAAAGCTGTGGCTAACCCTTTATAAGCAGTTGTGATTTTCTATTTATCAACATTAATTCCTATTCTAATACATGCTAGATGCAATGTACTTGCAAAGCTCAGATCTACACAATAGTGAGGAAAAGGGGGAGTTGGTGATTTTCTGGAGAATTTAGACTTTGATTTCACAGGATTCTGGCTTCCTTGTATCTACCAATCTCTACCACAAATATGGTCATATTGGCTGTGTTTTGGTAAAGTTCTATCAAAGCCGTTTTGACTACTGATGATCTTTAAATCAGACAGAGGGTGATGGGTGAGAATCTGACTGTGCTACTTTGACCTCTCAGGCAGCCGCAGGGTGGGATTGAGGTGGGGAGAGGTGGGCGTTCCCTTTTGCTTACAGAGATGCTGAGGGACAGTGAGTTCTAACCGAAATTTTCTTTTCTCTTCAACTAACTACGCAAAGAACTGAGAAATGTAGGGATTGTTCCCAGAACAAATCTCAGTTGTGTTTATAATAGGAGAGAAAGTAAAAGGTAAATGGCAGGAGAAGGACATGCCCTCTGACAAGAGCAATAATCTGCTGCTTCCATTGCAACAACCTCTGACGGCACAACATTTGCTCAAGGGTAGTCTTACTAGTTCTCTGGTCAGGGAGCCTTGCTGTTGGAAGTGCCAGACGGACGTCACATTTAATGCTGTATGTAATGGTTAATTTAAAAAGCATGGCCTTTGGAATCACACAGTTCTCCCTGGGAAACACCTTACAGTTTCTAAGACTTTCTTAGTCTTTCTGAGACTCAGTTTATTCACCTGCAAGATGGGAATAAGAAGTAGGTGCAACTTCAAAGGTTACTTGAGAATTAAATAAGCTTATATATCACCTAGCATAGTACCTGGCACATTGTATATGCCAATAAATTTCCATTCTTCTCTCCATCCTCTCACCCATTGTACAGTAAAGTTAGAGTTAAGATATAACATACATGAATGAGTAAGTTGAGAGAAATTTCAAATAGCATAAGAGAAACCAAGCCAAAAGACATATAGGTGACTCTCATTGGTTTTCACAAGAATTTTTCTTCTTTAATAATTCGATTCATGCATTATCTAGTCATTAAATATTTATTAGGCACAAACTCTACGGCAAGCATCATCTTGAAGGTAGGGGCAAGGGGCAATTTGAGACAGGGAGGCAGTGGATATATAAAGATATTTATATAAGACAGAATTCCTTTGAACTCAGAAGACAAGAAAAGACATGTTACACAATTTATTGCTTGTATGAGATAAAGTAGTGGATACGATGAGTTCTGTAGATGAAACCAAGTTCTGCCAGTAAGTCAGCCTTCCAAGCTTTCCATTGCTTTTTAATATCCCCTTGGATTCAGGCTTGTCTGGATTTGAACCCTGGCTCTAACTAGCAGCGTGATCTTGGACTAGTCACTTTACTTCCCAAGGCGTTTCTCCACTTGTAAAATGGAAATAATAATCTCTCCCTCTAAGGATTTAAAAAGAAAATATATGTCTAGCACAGTCAAGCATAGGAGTTAACCTTATTCATGATCATTTTTCAAAGACACCAGAATACTGGGGTCAAGGAAGTGAGGACATCCTGGGACCATTTTATTCCTTGGTTTCAAGTCTAGCAAAAAGTAAGGGAAGAAGTGCATATTAATGTCTGTAATGAACCCGGGGGGTTATTTCTTGGTTTTTAATTACCCATGCTATTGCTGTCCCCTGTCACCACAGATCACCCAGAAGCATGAGTCAGCACCTGGCATAGCAACATACCTAGCGAGGTAATTGGGTTCATGTTTTTCTTCCTCATTAGATAATAAATAAAGCAACTTCTTTTTTTGTTTTTAAATTTCAGTGACAAAATGTTCCCAGCCTTTGGATTCGGTGCCAGGATACCCCCAGAGTACACGGTGAGTGAGTAAAAATGCTTTGCTCTCGCCAAAGGATAATTTGAGTTTCCTCCACAGTAGCCTCACTCCTTTGGCTCATGATATAATTATGTAAGTAGGACCCAAAGACTCAGAAATGGTCTTCAGAACCAGCAAGATTAGGTCCTCAGAGCCTGTCTTTTGATGAACCCCAATCTCCTGGTATTCTGAATGGCTCTTCCCAGAAGTCCAAAGGAAGGCTGTCATGGCTTAGCTTCTCAGAGATATGGTCAAAGGCTCAGAAAACGCTCAGGAGGCTGACCTTCAGTAGTTCAGAACTTACCTATTCAGCTTTCCCCTAGAGAAAGATCCTATTGACAATACCAACTATGGAAGTCCATGGCTGCGAAGTCTACAGACTCCCTCATCCCAGTTCAGAGCACCAGTCTTGTGTGTGAGAGACACAGAGAAGTCCTAAGATTGACCCATTGTGAGGATCAAGAGGCTGAAAGCTTCCTATGAGAACATTGGGATCCTATTTGGTTTTGATACTGATTTCCATGACACAAAGAAGGCAAAGATTGTGCAGAGATTTGCACTGTAGTGGAGCTGAGGTACCTTCCTGTGGTAGACCAGATGCTCCTGTGGTAGACCAGATGCTCCTGTGGAACACTCTCCACAGAGAACTCAGGTCCCCAGGTGAGAGGGCCTTGGAGGAACAGCAGGGTTCCTGCCCCAGCCTCTCCAAAGTAAGTGCAGGCAACACTGTCCAGTCATCAACTTCTCTTTTACTGGCTATGTCTGAGTTTCAGAGCAGGAGGCAGGTGCTGACATTTACTCCCGCACCAAAGCTGTCAGGCCAAGGGCCTTCCCCTCCCCTGCCCTTGTTGAAAGAGGTAATCCATCTTCCTGTGACTTCCTGGAGTGGCATGTCCCCATGACCTTGTCTGCCTTGCATTCCACACTGGCCTGCCTGCCAGGTATGCCCACCAAATTCTAGAAGCATTTGTTGAAAATAGAGCACATGGGGAGGAAGAACATAGAACTGCAGGTGTTGACTGGTGGTGGCCTGGAGACATTATTCAGGCCACAAATGTATTATAGTTGACACTCAATTTTTTTTATAATTTAGGCAATTTCATATAAAATGTCACATTTCTGGCTTCTTTGGAAAAACTAAGATTAAAAGATTACACAACAAGAATTAGCCAGAGCTGAGGAGATGCAGTCCTTTCAGGAGAGGTATCAGCTCCCAAATGTGGGTGCACACCTTCTGCACAGAGTTTTGAGTCTCAAGATCAGAATGCACCTCAAAAACCACCAGTCCCGCTACCCAGAGATGCTTGAGCATCCCTACCACATCCCTGCCAGGCAGTCTTCCGGTCTCAGGGTGGCCCAGTAGGGTGGAGAACACCTTGTCCCAGGCCTCTTCTCATCCATGACATCTGCCTGGTCCCCCTCCAGGTGCAACTTACCCATCTTGCTGTTTTCTGGAGTCCTCATGCTCCCCGGGTCCCCTGGCTCCACCCTGCCTGTCAGCCAATGTCTTCTTCCTGCTGCCCCAGCAGGCTTCCCTCACATCTCCTCACTCTGCTGCCACTCAGATGCCCCCTGTTCCAGGCCTAATTTTCCCTCTGCCTCTGGCAGACACTGATGCTCTCAGCAGGTCAGGTACCCTCAGCAAGTTTAGAAGGTCACTGCAATTTACTTCCTTAAGATAAAATCTCAGAGTTTGCCTTAAATGTGAGCCACAGGCACCTCTGTGTTAGTTTACACTCTCCCCAGGACTGACTTTGAGTCAGAATCTGGATGTGAGTAGTTTATTTGAGTGGTGAAAGAAACCTCAACAGAGAGTGGGGAAGTGAGCGGAAGTCGACATAGGACATCCTGATAAGTCATTTATTGTTGTGGGCAGTAGGAACTTAGTTCTGCTTGGCCCCCTGGAAGGCAGTGTGGAGCACACACAGAGCCCAAGGGATAAGACAATGGGTACTGATACACTATTGCTTCTTGTCAGCCACTGAGGAAGGGCTCCTCCCAAGCGACATTAGTTCCCCAACACTTTTAGCCTGTCACTGGGGTAAGCAAAAGCAGGGTGTGGAGACCCGAGAAAAACTTAAGGTAAGTAAAGCAGGTAAGGTGGTTGGAAGTCAGCTGACTTGCCTGGAAGAGCTAAGGGCAGGCACCAACAGCATCTGCTCTGACCCCTGCGAAGAAAAGAGGGGTCTTTTCACACAGTGACTATTTTCTAGCCCCCAAGAGAGTCATAGCTTGGAAATAACCTTTGAAATGGAAGTCTCTGTAAAATCCCAAATGATCCAACAATGTCCAGGTGCCAGGACTTCCCTTCTGTTTTATCGGATTTTAGAAAGAAAGAAAGAAGGTCAACTGTCATTTGACCTTGTGATGGGTCCTGCCTGGTAGAGGAACTAGTGTTGCAATATTAGAAGGTACATTACTTTATCACTTTTCCAAAAGAAGAGTCTGTTTTACCTGTATATATGTCACAAGCCTGCTGTCCTAAAGAATGAGCCTTAAGTGTCAGCAGGAGCAGAAGCTGTTAAAATCATCACTATGTTGAACAGACGTGGTGTGAGTTACCATTTTTTAATCACAGGATCCTGGTAGAGCTCAGCCAAATCTGATCCTCCAGCCTGTGGCCAGTTCTTTCTGGAGGACCATTTTTCTGAAATCTCATCTTGGCCTTTTTTTATATACATTAGGGGTCTTCCTTCTGCCAGCATTTATCTGATTCTAGAAAAATTTCCTGTCACCTCAACTCCACAGGAAGCTTAGAATTCACCCTCCATCTCAGAGCTTAGCGTGATTCTTGCTGCTTAACCCATAATAAATGTAACGGGCATTTGTTTGCAAACTCTTCAACCCTCTGCCTCCTCACTGGATTAAAGATGTAATTCTTCTTTCTTCCTTTTTACAATTTTAATGGGTGTCTAGGTCTCTCATGATTTCGCAATCAACTTTAACGAAGACAACCCAGAATGTGCAGGTAAATTAAAACGTAAAAGCAAGCCAGAGTCTCACAGCCCTACTGTTTGCACGTTGCCCGTTTTCGTTTCTCTCCTCTGATGCAGTACATCAGTTAAGATTGTCCATAGCAGAGAGGTCAGTTTTTCTGGATTCAAATAGACTGTACTACTCCAAAGGCCACAGAGAGCCATAACAGCAGAGCAGAAAATTAAGAGGTGACAAAGGCAGCGCAGAAGTGGTCTTGAGTTTATAGCAAGAATGTTGATTCCAATTCTGGATTCCTCTGGCCAAAAAACACGGGGGGAATTCATCTGGTGAGCAGTGATGAGCCCTCTTTCTGCTCTCCCAGTTTCCCTCAAGTGTTTATTTTTCACAACTTCCTCTCTATGAAGGTGTAAGTAGAGGTGTGGATGGGGAGGACATGGAAATCATTTGACACTTTCGACATGTTTACAAAGGATACACGGCCCCAGTGACTTCCAACAAGTAGCTTCACGGGTTTGTACCAGGAAAAGGTTTCTCAAAGGCTTTGGTCCGTGTTCCATTATTTCCAGGTAGAAGTTCCCCAGCACAGATCCACAGAATAATGATGGTGACGTCTATGATGATAAATTTCATCTTGGAATTATTTTCTCTGCTGAGAAATAGAGCCAAGCACACCTGTTGCTAGGAAGCTTGTAAGATATTTTTTATAGTGAAATAGGTAGAAATGTCCATATCTTTCTCCTCCTTCTTGTCAAGGAAGAAGGGGGCTGAACGAGGGTTAATTTGGATCCAGTGGGGTGTGTAGAGCATCTATCAGTTTCTTTCACCAAGTCAGCACTTAATGTCCAAGTGCATGACATCAATATCATTGGGTCTGCACATAGGAACCTCTGAGACCCGCTCTCCATTCTTTCTTTGTTCCCTCTCATGATCCCTCACCCTGAACTTATTATAGCTTATAGTTCACACATCCCTCACCACCCCCATTCTTGATCTCTAAGAAAGGGTTTTCACCAGAGCAGAACAAAACACATGCCCAGGGTTCACCAGTCTCACACTCTTAGAATTCATCTGCCTGTTATTTTTGAAAGAGAAATCCAACTGGCTTATCTTAGGTAAAAACATAGGCAAAACTCAAGAACCAAAATAAGTAAAGAGCTTCTGTTGAGTGTCATTTATCTTGAGAAGCAAGCTACAAAATGACATGACATATGTCTTTAGAATAACAGGCTTCGGGGCAGAGCAAAGAGAATACAGTATTTTCAATGGGGAAGCATGGGTATAAGGGCAGAACACACAAAACTTGCTTATTCAAAATACTCAGGATCCAGTTGGCAATACATCGTGGCTGTGGAAAACCATTTCAGGACCAGCATGCTATTTCAGGAGAGAAGGCGACAAAGGATGGACTAAGACAGGGAAAGGCAAGAGCTAACACAGGCACAGACACCAAGAGGAGCCATTTGAATAAAATTCATTAGTAGCTGGACTCTTGTGGGATCATGAGTATGACATTAAATGTGCAGTCAAGACTCACAAAAGGCCAGAGAAGCTACATAATCAGGACCATCCCTTCCAGCAGAGTCCCACCTTTAATATTTTTCTGGCTCATGTGGCCTCAGGATGGAAACCTCCTTTAAATGAAAGGTTGACCATGATGATGAACATCACTCATGTGTACTACAGTCCCCAGCAGACAATTATGTCACCATTTGCTCCTTCATCAGACATGTGGTGTGCCCAGCGTGCCTCGAGGTCTTTGAGGGAGTAAGCCACAACTGCTTCCCACAAGGACTTTAATATCTGGAATGATGCTCATGTATACATACACGTAACTCCTGTATGTAGACGAGGGTGGTATATACCACAGTAGAGTCAACAAAGTGGTGTGAAGACTAGAGAAGCATTAGCACTGACTGCCTAATGGCGGAGAGCACAGCCCTTAGAGCCAGACAGACCTGGGTTCCCATCCTGAGTTTGCTGTGTGACCTGGAGCAGATCATGTAACCCCTCCAAGCTTCAGACTCTTCACCTGTAAAATGGGTATAACATCTATTTCATTACACTATGAGGATCTAATGAAATCTCATGTGTAAAGTGGTACATTAGGGAAAAGTTTGGGAAAAGGATTGCTTTTGTATTAAGCTGTTAAAGAGAATGAGTTCAGTAGGGGGGTACAGGCAACAGTGTGGTATTTTTTTTATCCAAAGATCATAAATGTGATATTAAGAAAGACATCTGGGGAAATTTAAAGCATTATTTGTGTGTGTGTTTGATTACAAATTTATTTGAGGGGACTGCTGGACTACTGATCATTGTCAACTTCACCTTAGGAATTCAAGGGGTTGTGGAAGCCTATCAGAGCTGCCTTCCCAAGCTCCAGCTCTACGGTCCCACCAACATCGCGCCCATCATTCAGAAGGTCGCCAAGTCAGCGTCGGAGGAGACGAACACCAAGGAGGCGTCGGTAAGGAGAGGGGCAGTTTGCCTGCTAATGGGAGGTTACCCTTTCTCACCTGGATTCTGGCCCTAGCGCCCCTCCCACTCTGACAATAAATTATAGCATTTCTACTTGTCTGACTTTGGACAAGTGACTTAGCCTTCTGCTGTCCTCAGTCTTGTTATCCGAGAGTTGGGGACAGTCCTTCCCATTTCTGCTGGATTATTGTGAGGCTTAGAGATGACACATCTCAAATGTCTGCAACTTCAGCTGAACAGAGGGGACACTCACCAGTGGAATTTGCTTTATTCCCTGAAATATAAGTCATAGCCACATTGTGTTCCTGGAAAGGAAAAAAAAAACCTGTCCAAAATAAACTTGCCTTCCAATGTACCCATATTATAGATGCAAGTGAAGCAAAACAATAGATATTTCTGTCCCCTGGGGTCAGGTGCAGCAACACAGAACATCACAGGAAAGATTTGTTTTATGTTCTGTGTGTGGTTTTCTTAAGAAACTTGCAAACCAAGGCTACAAGGCACAGCAAAATTTGTTTTTCTCCCTAATGTTTTTGAGTTAAATACTGAGTAGGCAAGAATAGATTTAGAGTTGTAATACAAATAACTCCTACAGTAATTAATAAATAATAATAAAAGAATAAACTGTTTCATGTACTCACAACTATAAACCTACATTTGCCCACCCCTGTATATTACCATAATAACATTTCTATGTATCATTTTAATGACATCAATAGATTTCTTTTTTAGCTTTATGACTTTTTTCAGATTTAGTATAACATTGCTGATGTCTGAAATTTTCTCTGGGATTTTATCCTGGTTTCCAAGGTACTGCATTCATAACATCTTTTTATACCATCTCATCTAACCCACTTGCATTGCACCATGTTCTCAGACTTCCCTCATGACAGAGTGGACAGAGGACCGTATTATATCTAATCCCCGCCTCTTCTCTTGTGTGCTGGAGCATGTCTCCTCTCAATTACCCAAGGACATTGACCTAGCAGCTATGGGTCCCTCTCCCTCACCTATTTTTTCCCTTTCTACTGAAGACTTATTTTCACTAGCAAATAAAACCTCCTATAATTGCCCTGGCCAGTGTGGCTCAGTTGTTTGGGGCATTGTCTCGTGAACCAAAAGGTTGCAGGTTCGAATTCCTGGTCAGGGCACATGCCTAGGTTGCAGATTCAGTCCCTGGTCAGGGTGTATACAAGAGGCAGCCCACTGCTGTTTCTCTCTTACATCAATGTTTGTCTCCCTCCCTTCCTTCCCTTCTCTCTAAAATCAATAAGCATGTCCAAGGGTGAGGATTTTTTTTTAATCTTCTAATATCTCCTATTTAAGTTAAAATCTCTCCCTCTACACCTCCTTACTGTATAGCTACCGTCCCTTATTTTGCCTCCCTTTACAGCAAACTTCATTTAAAAATTTGCCTATATTCACTGTCCCATCTCTCTTTCCATTGGACCAGTCAGACGTTCCTCCTCAACATTCCTCTGAAAAATCAACAGTATTCCCATCTTGCCAAACCCACAGAGGCCTTGGAAAAAAATTTGAATCCTCACAGATGCAAGATTTGGAGATAAGTGTTGGGCAGGAGCATTATTTCATTTTATTTTTTAACAATTTTTTTATCATCAGAACTTCAAATTCAAATTCTTCAAATCATATGTTACTCAGAAACCCAACATATAAAATAGATTTTAAGGAAACAGACTGGTCTTACTAAATCTGGGCCAAGAGATGGGGTCCAAACTTGCCTCCTTTACCAGCTTTATTCCCAAAAGTATCCAGGGTGCCCCAGGGCTCCCCAGAGGCCAGACTGAAAACAGAAATCATCTCAGCCCCTCTGGGGTTCCAGGAACTAGAAGAGTAAAAAGAGAATAAGGTTGACATAAGTGTAGATTTAGGCCTGATAGAAGCCAACATGAGTTTTTGCCCATCACTCACTCATGTAGGGACAGGTGGTTGGCTCCGTAAGGACAGATTGGGAAATAGCACAGGAAGTGTCTAATCCACATATCCCAAAATAAACATTCCTTATAATCCAGGAACAATGATTCTTTTCCCCCAAAGGTTTCACCTGTTTTTGAACAATGTGCAGTCCAGGACTCCTTGTTGTCACTAATTGCCAAGGGTCTTAAACTTGAACCCCTTACACAAGCTGTGCCAAGGAGTCTGGCTGTAGGATTTTCTCCTCAATTTTGTAGAAATCTTCTAGAAAGAAAAAAAGTCTCCTCTGTATCTGAACAGGACCTCATGTACATCCAAAGACTATATAATATTTCATTATGAGTATTTTCCTAGCCTGGCTTTGAAAGCAACTGTTGCTGTAGCTTTACTGGAAATATCCATCAGGGTTGTGTTCTGGCAGTCTGCAGCCGAGTACCTCTAGCGAGATTAACCGTGGATCAGATTCTAGAATTCTGACAGTCTCTTGAGATCAGGGATTCTTAACCTTTTTTGTTCCACAGGCCCCTTTAACAGCTGATGACATCCACGAACCCCTGCTCAGAAGTATTTCTAAATGCACAAAATAATCTCATTGTAGTATGTACTCTATATAAAAATTAAGATATTTTACACTTTTTTATACTAATTCTTCAAAACCCAGTATATATTTTATACATCATCTTAATTTGGATGCTATATTATCATCGCAAATATTTCATCTTTATTTAGACTTTATAAATTGATAGTTGAGAAAGTAGATTTACATATTTGAGTTGTTTCAAACATACTTAAAAGGTTTCCAATAACTGATTCAGATCCATTTTTAAAGTTAAATTTAACTTTATCAAAAGGAAATAAAATTAAAAGTCAGGTTCCTCCATTGTGCAAGCCACATTTCAAGGACTGAGCAGTCCCATGGCGGTCCTGGCTGTTGCGTTGGGCAGTGCAGCTTTAAGTTCTTAAAATCTCTGAGCTGAAGAGGCCTGTCCAAGTGATTTAGTTCTGCCCCTCATTTGAGAGACAAAGCTGAGACCCAGGGGAGATATGAGTTTGCCCAGGATCTCAGAAGCCAGTCCTTCTGACTCCTCACTGCTGCTCTGTCAACCACACTGTGCTTCATAACGTTCACTAAGGTGATTATTAGAATTAAACTACAATCACTCTGCCTGCCTTAAAATCCCATTCATCATAACCTTAAGTCTTTAGGGCTGTCTGCACAGACACTCAGAAAAAGTCTGATGTTACTATTGCTGTAGTCGGTGTGCGCTGAAGCCACCCAGGTGTGTAACTGGCATTGTCCTTGTCTCCCCCCAATCCCCCGGCATCTGATCCACTGCAGCAATACTTCATCCTGCTCATCCTGACCGACGGTGTCATCACAGACATGGCCGACACCCGGGAGGCCATTGTCCATGCCTCCCACCTCCCCATGTCGGTCATCATCGTGGGAGTGGGCAACGCTGACTTCAGTGACATGCAGATGCTGGATGGTGACGACGGGATTCTGAGGTCACCCAAGGGAGAGCCTGTCCTTCGAGACATCGTTCAGTTCGTGCCCTTCAGGAACTTCAAACATGTATGCATCTCTCAGGGGCTTTCGATGGGAGGACAGAACCAAAACAAAGTCACTCCCTACGCGTGTCCCCCAGTCTGTAGTGAAGCGATGCCGGCCACCCCTGCCTAGGCCGGGCCATCTCCCACACAGGATATGTAGAGCGTGGCTCTTTGGAGATGAAAGTACACCTTGAACTATAGATGAGAAGTCCCGCCAACTATGGGAGCCAACATTTCATGGGCAGTTGTCCCCATCCATGCAGTTTAGACTCTTGGTGCCCTCAGGGCTGCCGTGTGCAGGCGGGAGGATTGTTCCTGCACGTGGGCCTGGCTGAGAAACAAGGAACAGTTGAAATTCAGCCTGGGTTCTGCTTGTCACGCCGTGGGCCCTGGCCCGTGTGGGCCTTGGCAAAGTGCATTTTCAGAATGATGGAAATCTAAATCCTCTATGATTATAGGAAACAGCATCAGAGGTTTATTTAACTCATTGAGGGAACCAGTAAATATGACAAAGGTAGTTCAGAGGAGGACATAAAATAATTATTATGGTCAGCGAGGACAAGACTGGAGTAAGTTTGCTAGGGCAGATTCAAAACCAGGCAATAAGGGGCTAGAAATAAATAAGTAGGCTTTGGATTACCTTCTCTACTGGACAGAAATCATCTGTTTTCTACGAGTCAACATCTAGCTTTATAGTCTTGAGTGCTAATCCATAGTAAATAATAAGTCAAGCAGCATGGCACCCCCTGGCGACCTGACAGCAGGCACGTCAGTGCTCCAACAGAACATGAAAAAGGCTCAAAGACAATCTTTTTGCATTTCCAATTTTTGGATAATTATGAACTCCATGGAAGAAGGGGCACCTCTAAAATTTCAACAACACCCTTCACCTATGGGGCTGCAGTTGCCCAGAAGGACACCCCAGATCCTCCCCAGCTGTTCTGGGCATCCTTGACGGTAACGTGGGCTGGCACAGACAGTCCTCTGTGACCTTATGCCCCTTGACCCCCCCACGCTCCCTGAGGCCTTGCCCCGTCCCCTGCTGGTGGGGCCGCAATACCGCTTGGGTGGGAACCGCACTGGAGCTGCCCCTGCAGGAGGGACTCTCCAGAGTGCTCAGTGCCCCGGAGCAGCTCTGCAGTCTCCTTAGAAATGATGAGAACGCTCTTCCATCCCTGTTGCAGCGACCCCTCTGTCACCTGGACCATTAATGCAGTGAAGTCTGCGTCCCCACATCTCAAGGATCCCTGCCAGAAACATGTCTTTAGCTGCCACTGCAGCTCCTCAGTCCTCAGCGCAGAGCTCGGTTATTTAGGGCCCCAGAGAGGGAGGGGCAGGTACTATGCCATCCACTCTGAGCGTCCGCTCCTGATGGTTTTTTGGAAAAGTCTTTCTACTCTGGCCAAAACCCCTCATTCAGATGAGTCCTTGACAGGGCCCTAGCCAGTTTATCAGATCTGTCCAGACACGCATACAGCCCACTGTGAGCGCACTCTGGGACCCCAGCTACACTGGGAAAGGTAAATATAGACGGCGGAAGGGTGGATGGACCATTGTCAATATAGGCGAGTCTCAGGGCCCGCGTCAGAGCCTTCGGTCTGTGCTTTTCATAAACTGCCGTTCTGCCTTGCTGGGACTGGCGTTAAAGCCGGCATTCAGGTAAATCACAAGCCCAGTGGCCTCACTGAAGCCTAGATCTCATGAATTGCCAGGACCATGCAGGGAGGTCACTGTGTGTTCCAAGGCCCCTTGAATGATGAGGGATATAACTCAGAAATACAGTGGCCTCTTAAGGAGGGCTACACTATAATGAGAATCATTAAAGGAGCATAAAATCAATCCTTGCGTACAGAGCTGAGTGCAGAGGGACTTGCAAGTAACAGCAGCAGCACCCAAGACCCCTACAGGCTCCATGGCAACGAGCACGGCCGAGGGCTGACTGCTCCGCCATAGCCCATCTTCTGCTGGCCCGAGGAGGAGGTTTCCAAAGGAAACCACTCATTAGATGAAAGAGGCTCCCCACGTCGTCAGGTTGTCTGCAAGCAGACAGCAAGGAGTGGGGTACTCTTCAAGGAGGGATGCGCTGGGACAGGCTGAATGCACTACAGTCCTATCCGTCAATGAAGCTACGTACCTGCCTGATGCCGGGCAGGAGAAGGGTTTTCTTCCTGGTTGTGATATCCTGCTTTATTTTGTCAACCAGAGAGAAGTAGCCATATCACTGCCTGCCACCTATATCTCTGCCTGAATCAAGGGTTGAAGAACTTACTCCCCAAGACAGTCATGCATTCCCTCAAACCACCTTCTCCCTGCCCCCTACACATATGACATCTGCATGCTGAAACAATGCAACCGAGCCATGCAAGGGTCCAGCCTCTGCCCCTGGCCGCCTCCTCCCCTGGAGTGCAGCTGTATGCGCAGCATGTGCTAGCATCGGGACCACGGCCGGGTGGTAGAGCCATGGGCCCGGGCCTCAGGGAATTCATGGGAGAGTTGCATGGTTGGTGTGAGCAGAAAAATCCCTTGCTAAGCAACCCGTGGGTGGTTGAAACGGGCTAAAATGTTGCTACAGGAGTTAAGAGTGGAAAGAAGTTGCCATGAGGAAAGGCTTATGGCTTGAGCTGGGAATGTGAGGAAGGACAGAGCCTTTGTAAACAGGGAGCTGAGGGGGCATCGGCGACCAGGGAGGTGTCCTGATCAGGGCAAGGAAGCGGGCCACTGCTCGCCATGGCTGCCACACAGTTTGTGGCCACTCTGCGGATGACTGAAGTAGAACGCCAGTAGCATAGCCTCCACCTTATCTTTATGGATTTCAAATTGGATTTGGAAAACCATTTCATTATCCAGGCTACACTGAATTCAATAAGACATAAATAAAATGAAAAGTGAGGACCTGATACATTTCATGTAAGCCCATAACCCATGAGTCGTCTCTCATTTTCTGCCCTGCATGATAACTCAGGGCTTTGAAGGGGACAGGGCACAGGCTCCGAGCTGTGTGATTCTGGGCAAGTCATTTAACCCCTTTGTACCACAGACTTTCGTGTGCAAAACGAGGCGAAAGACACACACACACATTGGAAGAGTAAAGGTGGTGTCTACATAAAGCTTAGCACAGTGCCTGATCCGTGTAGATTAATAAATACAGCTGTTACTACTGGCCGATTTCACATTTTTTACCTTTTCCTAAACAACTAATGCCCTCAAATCCCTGCTTGCTCACTGGAACCACCAGCACAGGTATGATAATGGCAGGAGAATCACTTAGGGACTGTGTTGTCCAGTGCAGTAACAAGTAGCCACATGTGGCTATTTAAATTTAAATTCATTAAAATAAAATAAAATATTACCTTTTCAGTCACATTAGTCACATTTCAAGGGTTTGTTAATTGCCTGTGTCTAGTGACTACCATATGGACAGCACAAATAGGGAATACTTCCGTCATTCTAGCAAGTTCTATTTGACAGCACTATTTAGGAAAGTTTTTTTGTCTCCAAATAACAGCAAACCCATCTTACAGTGGATTACATGAATGGTTCTTCATCAAGGGTGACTTTGTTCTCCAGGCGACATTTGGAAATGCCTAGAGCCATTTTTAATGGTGACAGTCGTCAAGTGCCTAATTCACCTCTAGTGGGTAGAGGCCAGGATGTTGGTGAACATCCTACAATGCACAGGACAGGATCCCATACAAAGAATTATCTGGCCCAAAATAGCAATAGTGCTGAATTTGAGAAACCCTGGATTACATAATTACATATATATATTTTTTCATGTAACTGTAATTTAGGGGTTGGAGGCTGCCAGCACGTTTTTTTTCAATGATTCAATAGCATCAGGGCCAGCACTCGGTGATTTCTCTTTGCTCTTGCCTCATAATGATAAAATAGTTGCCATAGCTCCAGGAATCACATTCCAGTTCAAGGAAAAGAAGAAGAATAAAGGGAAACAGAGAAATCCATGTCTGCCCCCTTTAACCAAGAAAGAAAAGCTTTCCCAGAAATGTCCCCCAGGAAACTTTCATTTATGTCTCAAAGATGAAGTTGAGTCACATGGACCTGCGAGATGGAAGGTAGTCTAGGGAATCACGTATTTAGCTTTGTAACCTTTATAAGAGAGGTGGCCAGAGAGAAAGGGTGGGAATAACTTTTTATACTCCCCAGTGTACACATGGATCATGATCTAACACACAACCCTGAGCAGTTATTTATAAAAGAGCATTCATGGATGTCAAATGTCCAACATGCTATAGCATCTCCAAAATATGAAGAATCATTTTAGATAAAGTCCTCACCATATTTTCAGATTGTTGTTAAGATAGGTCTCTTTTTTTCAGCCTCCTAAAAACTCTGAGAGAGAATAAATTCTTATTCTTTCCTATTTTGTCTAGCAAAACTGAATGGCTGAGTGGCAGACCACATAAGAAGGAAAGATCTAGAAACCAGGCCATCTGGCATTTCGTCCACTCTCTTTCCTTCAGGGTCTTTCCTGAGGAATCTCAAACACTTGCTAACTTGACACTCTGCTTCACATTTTCAGTCTTTTCAGTACTTTTAATAAGGTTTGGGCAATTTTGCTGGCCGGGGTGTTGAGCAGTTAGTACTAAACATCAGAGTTCATGCAGAATATCACCCCCCACCTTCAAGACTCAAATCTTACGGTGGGGCCATAATGCTGATAGGATAATGGCCGCATAATTAACAAGGTGGTATTCAATACACCACCTGCCCCACCCCACCGCCCCACCAGCCTCAAGGTGGGCCATTCCGTTTTCCCGTGAAATGCGCCACCAATCTGGCATTTGCAACATGCACACACTTCAACCCCATCAGATGACTCGCTGTCCCTAAAATGATCAAATGCCAATCCCCTCCTTCTCTACGTTTGAAAACATACCCAGGTTAAATGCCACCTACTCTAGGAAGCCTGTTAAGATGACTTAGCCTCTTTGTTTTCTGTGCTCTGTCACACAGTAGTTAGGACTGGAGCAGTATTTCTTCGAATGTCATATGCATAGGAATCACACAGGCATCAAGTTAAAGGCACACACAATAGCTTGGGGATAGATCTAGGATTTTATATTTCTAATAAGCTCCCATTTGATGTGATGCTGTTGGTTTTTAGCCTATGACATGTTTCACCTCAAAGTAGGGTTCATTTTGGCCACACCAGGCTCCTCTCACATAATTCTAACTTCCCTAATAGCAGGAATCACTGTTCCCATAAACTCTACCACAGTGCCTGGAACATAAATAAGTGTCTAGAATTAAATATAAATCAGAAACAAAACTGTGCAACAATTCATTCTGCTATCCAACTTTCACCTATATTTCAGGTGTGAATAGTTTTATTGTTTGAGCCAGGCATGCAAAAATATAATTAAGAAATTATTCACTTTCCAACCACCTGGCAACTCTTGCTTGGAGGCCCTTGACAAATAATGAATGAATGAATGAATGAATGAATGAATGAGACTAGCTGCTCAGAACAGGACTCAAGCCTTTTACACTGATTGTCAACCCGACTGCTTTGGCCAGAATCATGGTGCCAAAATCATGGTGCTTTCCTCTTCCCTGCAGGCATCTCCAGCTGCCCTGGCAAAGAGCGTGTTGGCTGAAGTTCCAAACCAAGTCGTGGACTATTACAATGGCAAAGGGATTAAGCCAAAATGTTCATCAGAAATGTATGAGTCTTCCAGGACACTAGCACCGTGACTCCACGCACTTTTACAGAGTTCTGAAATACTACTCCTGCTAATATTTAATACTTCTACTCCTGTATCTAAAAAAACAAAACAACAATGCATACACATTTAAAAATAGCACGTTTTGGTGATTTTTAACTAACCGACCTTTTTTTTTTTTTTTTTTTTTTTTTTTTGCATGTGTAGCCCCAAGGCCTGGATCTGGTAAGCCCTTGTATTGTTAAAGACTTTTTACAAAGAAACACAAATAATTATAACTTACTCTTTACATTACAGCATGTTGCCTTGAAATAAAATGGTATCTGTATCAGTTTTTTTATACAGGTTTGTTGAAATTTTGCTAAATTTCTTATTATCTTTACACTGTAAAGCATTTTGAAACATTTACCGAACGTTGATAGCCAAAACATATTTGGTTTTATCTGCTACAGGATGAGAGACTTTTCAAAATGGCAGCTGCATGGACTGTATTTTGCATGTTTAAAATAATTTTAAAAACACCAAGTTTTTGCAGTTGTTATCTATAACTCATCCCTGCTGAGAATGGTCTCTCTACTGAAGAAGAGGGCTAGCTGCCCAGAAGCAGTCTTCTTGACGTGGGTCTGGGGCACCCAGCCCAGCCCTCTCAGACTTATTGTGCCCACAGATCACCTGAGGATATTGTCAAAATTCAGACCGTGATGCCCTAGGTCTGCTTGGGTCCAAGATTCTGCAGCTCCAACAAGGTCCCAGGTGATGCCAGCGCAGTCCTCAGGCTGCACCGAGAGTACTGAGGTTCTAGACTTCAGGGTGTGCCATAGAGACCATCCCAAACAGGGCAGAACCTCATTTGCTTGAGAATGTCATCTCTCCCCTGCCAGTAGCACAGAGGTCCTGCCTGTCTCCGAGGTGGGAGTAGAAAGTAGCGAGACTGAGCCCAGAAGCTGCACACCCCAATTCAGTCTCACTGCTTTATAGTCACACCTCTTCCTTACACACACGAGGGGGTGCCCCTCCCGGCCGTCCCTGCCCTTACAAAGGAGGCATCACACAACTTGCATGAATGATTCCATGTTTACGTCAACCCCTAGGAACGACCTCAGAAAGTCTTCAGTAGAACCACAATAGCGGAGACGTGTCCATGTTGGATGGCCATGCAGTGTGGTTCCCCAAAAATGTGGCCCACCAAGGTGGCTTTTAAGCTTAGGGTGGGGCTTCTTTTTGCCTCTTTTTATCACTCTGGAGAGCAAACTCTATCAGCAGAAATGCCTGGAATCATTATTTTAGGTGAAGGTGTTTTGTTTCAACATAAACTGTCCAGTCTTGAACCAGAAGAATGAATGTTTCGCTTGTATTATCTTCTCACAGAGAAATGGACGAACATTTTGCAGCATAAAAATCACAAGATGGTCATAGAGATGGGGAAGTAAATCACAAGGCAAAGTAGATCTGTTTGTTGTTTGTTTGTTGAGGGGAAACATACTAACATGCAAATCAAATAGTCCTTGTATAATTTCCAGTGTTATAATTATAGATTCTAACCTTGCAAATACATGTCAGCACAACATTTTGGGAATGATGGTAAAAATGTATGACTGGAAAAAAATCATAAATATTTAAACTGTATTGTTTTATGAATAAATTGGGTACTTACAGAATTTTTTCTAAGAGTTATGGTCTTGTTTCTCTTTTCAAGGCAATTTTCTAACAGTGATTTATTTCATGTAGGTTGCATGGCCTCAGATTAGAACTAGCTTTTTCACAGTCTCATAGAAACATGGATCATTGTTTTTAACAAATAAGAAATTAAAATATTTAGGTTCTGTCCTATAGCAGTAGCTGGTGGTTGTTTATAGCCCGAAACCAGGACATGGGTTTCCCTGTCTGTGTGCCTGGAACACAGTAAGGACTCAATAGATATTTAATAAATAAAGAGGTGGCTAATCAAATAAATGCATGGACGGATGAATGAGTGAATTGTTAATGTGCCTCTTGAGTGATCTCAAACTCATTGCGGTTTTAACAGATAGATTAAATGGCTGTGGCTGGCAATCAAAAAGACGCACCGTGTCATCCTCAAATCTCCCTTGAGATCTATTCCATTTTGTATCAGGGCTCCTGGGCCTTGTGAGATGGAGTGATAAGTACACAGTTCAGTTTGCCTGGCAGAACCTTATGAGAGTACTTCCTTTTTCTTTTTTCTTTCTTTCTTTATTTATTTATTTTTGTCTTCACCTGAGGTTATACCATTTACTGATTTGAGAGAGAGAGGGAGAGAAAGAGAGAGAGAGGGAGAGAGAGAGACATTGGTTGCCAACCAGGGATTTGACCTGCAACCCAGGCATGTGTCCTGATGGGGGATCAAACCTGCAACCCCTTGGTGTACAGGACAATGCTCCAACAAATGGAGACGCCCCGCCAGGGCTACCTAGCTCAAAAGAACAAGGGGGAAAAAAAGGTAACTAACCATCATGGAGCCAGCCACTTACTGTATGCTAGTCACTGTTCTGAGTGCTTCTCACATACTATCTCATTTAATTCTCCCAACAGCCTGAAAAGGTAAATAGTAGTATTAATCTCATTTTGCAGATAAGGAAAGTAAGGCACAGAGAGGTTAGGTAATTAACCTAAGGTCATGCAACTATCAAAAGGCATAGACAAGATTTGAACACAGACCCTCTGGCTCCTGAGCCCAAACCCATTTTGAATAATCCCCATTGCAGCCACCCTTCTGGTACTATATCCATCCACTGACCTATCAAGTAGGAGATTCTTAGATTTGAAAGAATGTCCCTTAAAAATGACCTTTGCCTCCATTTCAGAAATTTCTTCCCCTCCAGTGATCTCAGCTTTTTGTGAGTTCCCAGCATCCTTCAAAGTACCAAGCATCACAGGAGTAGTGGGAGAATCTCAGGATACAGCAAGGTCTTCCCAACTTCTTGCCACCACGGAAGCCATGTAGATGGGACATTACAAACGCAGATGCTCGCAGAAGCTGAGCGAGCCATTGTAGCTGAACAGCTGAGGAGGAACAGGTTCAGACGACGGGACAGAAAGGTAGAGTGTGGTGAGGACAGAGGGAAGCTGGGAAGCGTGTGTCCACAGAGGGCAGCCAACAGCCCGCCCCGGGGCCACGCGCCATGGCCGACACAATGTTGCCAGTTCACCCAGTTTTTCAAAAGAACTGAGTAACCTGACGTTTCACATAAATCCCACCAATTTGTAAATAGGGGAAACCCACTCAAAATTAAACAACTGTTTCTGACACTACAAAAGGAAACACACCTCTGGGCTTATGTTGGCTCTGGAGTACAAGTTTGGAACCACCGATTACTCTGTCCATGGCCTGTCCCACACTGGGCTTCAACGGGTACTATAGATTCTATTGATAGTTGTTGTATGAGAAGTTGAAACTGTAAATGTAATATATTAACGATTCATTTACACATCAATGATAAACCCATTATGTGTTAACATAAATACATTATTTAAAAAATTATATTTCAAAACCGAAGAAATAAAGGGACAAAGAAGTTCTGCGTGTCTTGCTTAATAAAAGACAGCTGGAATCTCATATCCGCTTCTGCATTCAACCTGTTTTGAAGTGATGTTTTGGTTGAAGTACAATCAAGAAAATCTAGCCTCACGTGGCAACACAGTTGACAAGAGAAGCAGTTCTACCTTTCTCCGAGAAGTGTGCTTTTTGTTCTTTGCCACATCAAAACTCAACAAGTGGTAGCTTAACTTAAAGGTTAGTTGCAATATGACATATGCAATCATATCAATAAACTTCTTCTGGCATTTTTCAGCGGTTCTTTTGCCTTGCAAAACTTTGCAGTATCATGCATGGGTCATTTGGAAAACAATTGATCCACTCAGTTATTCAGATACTCCAAATGCTCCCACACTTTATTTTACAATATTACAGTAATCACATTCTTTTGCTTTCCAATGTGACTGCCAATCTCATCTCACAGACTTTAAGTGCTGAGAACCTGTCAAGTTATGGTGGCAGCTTCAGGTTTCCCAAAATTCTAATCTTTGCTAGAAAGCTCCAATGTTATCATTGGCAACAAACACTGTCAGTTGTTTTTCTTGAAGTGACAGGCTCAACTTCGTTCATTTTCAAGAAAACATCTTCTTGATACAAACATGATCTAAATGCATGTTTGAATGACTCATTTATCTGTCAGTCTTTTTTTCAGGTAAAAATGGAATTCTGAGGGGGAAACCGGCTAGTTCAGGTCACAACACACTGGCACCCATACTCTGAGGCAACCGTCTCAGGTTGGAATCCTTGGAAGTGCTTTCTGGGTGCTTTGCATTTTGTCGCCCAGGTATGAAAAAGACACGAGAGTCAAGATTTAGTAACCTTTATCATGTTTTTGCTCTATCAAGAGCATCTGTAAATGAAACTCCATGTTCTTTTCTGCAAGGCCGTGAGAGTGAAAAATAGGTGACCACTGGTACAGTGTGACGCCACCTTCTTCAAGTGAGCCGAGACCCCGGCAGTTCTACTCACTGTTGCTTCTGCACCATTAGTGCAAAGATCAGCCCAGTGAAAGAGGCGAGTAACATCTTCGTGTTGTTATGAAAATAGTTTTTACCCCATAGACTCCTTAAGAGGGCCTCAGGGAGCTTTGGGAACCATGCTTAGAACTGCTTGCTCTAGGCCACTTGACAAAGAGTATATTGGTTCACTGTGTCTGCCTAACAAATCACCACAAACTTAGTGGCTTAAAACCACACACGTGGATTGTTGCACAGTTTCTGTGGGTCACAAGTCTGGGGAGACTCAGCTGGGTCCTCACAGCCTCTTAAGGCTGAAATCACAATATCAGCAGGACAACATTCCTTCCCAGATGCTCTTGCAAAGCACCTGCTTCCCAGCTCACTCAAGCTGTTGGTTAAAGCTGTGGAACTGAGGTCCCGTGTCCTTGCCTGCTGTCAGCAGGGAAGGGTGCTGGGGACAGTCTTTACTCTTGGGGACTTTGCCCATTTCTTCTCATGCTTCCCGTACGGGGCCCTCCA